GATCTAAGAAGTCTTTTAGATAAAGTGCTTGGTATTATCAACACGGTTATGACCATGGTAATAAATCTTGTTGTGTATTACGTGGACAACTAGATATTATACTCGAGTAAATGCAAGCTAGCAACAGAGTTCGTGATCGAATCAATTACACCGCCAATCTCGCAATATTCCGGGACTGGAAAATAAACCGCCTACACAATCCTTCTCAACGGTTTCCAGAGACTGTAGTGTTAAAATGCCTAAAATTTTACCAAAATGGGTAAAATTCAGACATAGTGCGCAGCTCAATTCTGAGTCCATACTCGGAAGCACTATCGAAGATACCGTGGATTTTTGACCTCTAGGCCTAAGGTCTTTTGGCTTTGAGTACGTTCGAGGTTTCCTAGGTGGTTTATGGGGGAAGTGATTTGTGATCCCTCAAATTGTGCAACCGCGAAACCGAATCTTCATTAGTTATTCTTCCCTCGGGTGCAAACCCATTTCAGATTCTAACTTCAGAGTGTATGGGGAATTTTAATCGACGGAGAAAGTATAATTTTTTTCAATAGCAGCAGGAGTTGAAAATTCGACTGCATGCATCAGCATTGATCCAGTTGTTCGAAAAGGTTTAACATTCATTTCCCAACTAAGATAAAAACACCATTCCCAAATGCATCACGTCTCCTACATGTTTCTCTTCTGAGCAGAAATCACACTCTGCGTGTCCGTTTGCCATTATGTAATAGAGGGTGAACCCCCACTCCCACAGCCCCCTAAGGCCACACGGGACAATATGAGAAAGGAGGGGGAGCCGACGAGGGATAGGTAGGCTCCAAAGCTTTTAGTAACCAAGGCGACGCTAATGGAATCTGAAACAAAACTTCCTCCCTCTCCATGAGTTCGCTTGTGAGTGTGGGTGCGTGGGTACGTGCGCACCGATTCATCCTACGCTTGCGAATTGGTGTGAAGCAGTAGCAATAATGCTAAACGCGATAATGCAATATATTGTAACCCTTCCAGGAAAATCCAGACCCAGTCTCCGACTTCGTTTTTGTTTAGAAAGTTATAAGAAGTTACTCGGTCAACCAATGTCTCCAGTTAACGTAAAATTCAGTCTAACTCAAGATTCTTCTCCTCAGGTTCCAGGACCTAGTATGAAATGCCAATTAAGTTCTTTTCTTTAGTTGTAAGTAAATGAAACAGTTCGACAATGTTAGTGCTTAAATAATTCATGCGAGAAAAGTAGTAAATATGCAGCAAAGTGAAAACATTTGGGCCGGCATTTAAATCACTCACCAAGGCGAACGCAATTAAGACAGGAACTACATGCCCACCTTATCACCAGTGAGTATTCGAGTCCACTGTTGGCACCAGCATTCGTGAACATTTCTCAAATGAAACCAAAGCAACCACGATTTTTAAAAAAAATTAACATTCATGTTAAAATAAGACATTCAAAGGTTCACCGTTAATATTTATTCAAAAAAAGTAAATGACAGACAAGGGAATTTTCATACGGTGTGGTCCCATATTGCAAGTTTGCGGTAACTTCTTACTATAACCATGATTTTGTCCTTATATTGCAAGTATTGCTGTTAATTACCGTAGAGTTCCTGGATCTTCAAAGGCCATACTGAACAGCGCCTTTCAATTAGGGTTTATCGGGAAAAGTTGTACACGATATTAGGAAGACACTGCCAATATCCAAGACCCAATGCACAAAACTCCTAAGCTAGTTATTACAAAATTTGTTTCTAATGCTCGCTAACAGGACTTTCACTCAAATAAAAATGTAATTATCTTTAATCAGCTGTTGTTGATTTCTTAAATTCTGGCCCGCCTCGTGTCGCCAAAACTAAGGCACGCGAAGACAGCTGACTTCGTCCCTCAAAATGCCAATTCGACAAAGGTACCCCCATCCCTCTGCGCCGATGACAGTAACTTCGTGTTATTTTGCCGCTATACCCCGTGTTTATTCATCGAAGGCAACCGGACAAATAGTTGGCCGTAATGAATGAAGGAAACATCGGTTTCTTGTCCCTTCCAAGGATTAAGTGATAAGTTGAACACTGTGCTGATGCCTAGTGTTGATGTTCAATGGCATCTCTCTCTCACTTACCAGAGTGAGGTTCAAACGAATTAGGATATTATCCCACGTAAAGTTTCCAAGAGTATGTGGGATCAAGAAGAGAAGATTTCGCTACAGCCATGAAATAAACCACTGTACGATTCAACAGAGTCATACAGTACCGTATGATCTGTCTCCAGTGTTACGAAGCTCAAATTTTTTTTGGTCTGTCGGAATATTGTCAAAAACCCCAACTAAACCGTTTCCTCGTTCAAATAAATTGCTTTGTGGACAGATGTGAAACTAAGTACCCCTGGTGCTACTTGCACGTATGGAGGCAGTTGGTGAGCGACTTGAACAGAGTAAACTTGTCCATGTCCACACGTGTTGAATTCAGCTTGATCTCGTTGAAGACCCCGGAATGTAGTCTTGAACCACAACGAGTTCGCGGCATTAAATTTGGTCCAATTAGCCTACGAGATCACGATACCCGCGAAGATCAAGAAGATAAAAGATTAAGGAGAAAACCGTTCACTAAATTGCTCAACCTGGTTGCGTTAGTCGCGCCACTGTGAATTAAAAAGTCATCGCTGAATAATGCGGCTGCTGATCAATACAGTGTGGGTGAACCTGTAGAAGCACAAGTCCCCGAATGGTCCGATGAATGAAACGGGTAGCGTGGGGGAGGCACACGCACAGGGGTGTATGAGCAGACGGGCTCGCCAGATCGATAGGGGCGCTGTGCAAAGGTGGTCGGTATGGCGGCGAATGCGACGACCGGGTTAATGGACATTAATCAGCGCGATTCATTGCAATTTATTTGGGCTAATTGTCGGTAAGATTGATATGGCATGAGTTTGGCTTCGTCGTTACGCAAATTGTGGTGCTGCAATTTGAAGTGCTGTGTTTGTGTTCATTCGAATTTTCGGGAAATTTGGAAACATTACAAAAACGCCTGTCATCTACTGACGCACATTTGTAGGGAAGTTACCTATTAAATTCTACCAACGACTCCTTTTCTAAATTACGGTTCTTGATCAATCGAGGTGTCTGGATGCTGAAACTAAATGAACTTGAGACTTTGCGTTTATATTATACACCCTATTCCATAGGTACAAAGTTGCTATCTATGCTTTGACTCAATATTTCTTAGTTCTATTCTAATTATCAGAGGGACGCGTCAACTTCAGCTAATCCGCCAGTTTCCTGTTATAAGTCTAGGAAATATAATTACATTATGACGCGTTTTAGGCAAATCATCACTTCAGTTCACGTTTTATTGGTGTTCCCCAAAAAGAAGGAAGCTGTTTTTAGGTCCGATAAGTTTTTATGTGGTTTTTATGTTTGAGGATACAAACGACAAAATGCCGCAAAACCAATTTGCTTTTGAGCTTAACAAAGGTGTCCATCCCACTCTAGGATTTGTAATATTTCCGAATGCCGTTTGGCCAATTACCTGACAGATTGGAAACTGCGATGAACTCATTCAATTTGTCTTTTAGGGCCATATTGAGCACTTGTTACTTTAGCTGCTTAATTTTATTTCCATGCAAATCCGTAAGGCATTTCCCAGAGTCCTCCGAGTTATTTTCTTGGATTTTGAAAATCAAACACTGAACTCACTCATGGAGTACACTCCCAACTCCAGTAAATCGCAATAAATAGGCAAACCAGTGGTGAAGGAATAAGCTATCGTGTTTTGGGCTGATGCTCTTGCCCTTTCCTCTGCATGACCGACATTTTAGCCAGCGTGTGTACGTCATATATTGTGATGGCTTTGTGCCCAGCTCCCTGGGGCTCCTGTCTCTAATATTTTTGAATATGTCCAAGATAAAATGGCATTAAAATATTTGCTGGTCAACTCCCAGTTTGTGTTTTCCCGAAGGACCCAACAGATGCATCGGATAGTTTCGTACAGTTTTTAACGTTCCAAGCGGACTTCCCTGAGTTCCCCTTTCATTAATGAAATGATTATCTTTTACTAGGACTTGAAAGGATCTCTACCTAGGAAAGGAGTGATGAGTTAGGAATCAACAACCACCAGTCTTGTTCACTTTTTCAATTTTTTGGGAATAGTATTATTAACCTTAAATGATTTAAGTGGTCAAGTGTGATGGCAGTCGTACCGATTCACGTATCTCCAAATTTGACTGTTCTAGTGTCTATTGTTGCATGGTAAACAAAGTACTAAAATGACGTTCTCAAATTCAACTTTACCAGAAGAGTCCTGCGCCACCTCTCTTAATCCATCTTAAACACCATGGTATTTAAATTGGACACCTATTTTCAACTACTACCTAGTTGCAGCAGTAAAAGCCACCCGATGCTCATTAGTAAAATGTGTCATAAGGATATAACGTGTTCATTTCTTTCCAATCAGCTGCGAAGTTTGCTGGAAATTTTGCCATTTAAATGGTTCAAATGCTATAGGCCAAATTATCTAATGAATTAATGGTACTCTCAAAAAAGTATATATTTAGGTATCAAGATTGCGATTCGTTGAAGTGGCGACATACCCATTGAACGATGATCCACCATTAGCTCCAACTCGATTCACAGCAAGGTAAGTTTCTGTTAAATCTATTCTAATCACCTTAACGAAAACAATAAGCACTGACCGATTGCAACGGCTAATTTCTACATACTAGTCTATGCTAGCGCCAGAAAAATTTCTTTCCCGTTAGAAAGTGGAGGTAATTCAGTTGCTCCGGTATAGGTGTGACACTTGCATCGGAGCCCTGAAAAAAAATCTGACCGTCCATTTCTTGGATTTTGAGTGTAGGCACTTCAGTTTTTTACCATGTAGCTGTTCAGACAAGTTTTTAAAAATGAGTACGTCATATATTGTGGTTCGTTTACCGATTTTTATGTGACTGTGTAATACGCATGTCAGCTGACTTGACAAATCTCTATATCACATATGTGAGATCTTCAGTGGGATTACAGTTAAAACTCAAGTAGACAAGGAGGGTGGCCGCAAGTTGATTGGCCGAAGGGTAGTGAAAGTTGAGTCACCCATTGGGAAGACGAAGGAAGGTCCATCGGAGGTTGAGGGAGGAGGCACCCCCGGAGGATAGTTCATGCGGCTACCGTTGATGAAGGTGTCTTGATGAAGTGGAGGTCCCCGCTGCATAGGGTCCATCAGGTCAAAAGTTGACACCTGCGAATTAAATAATGTGTCTTTTTCATTGGTAGATATAAACAAGTCTTAGGCTTCTTGTAGATCTCGTGCTACGGTAATGCACAAGATTACGGAATTCTAGCATTTGCTCATTCTTAATAAAGGAAAGTGTGCAAATAAGGCAGCGAAATTAGATGAGGAACAAGACCAAATAGTTAGGAACAGATAGCATAGTATGTGAATCACATTGAAAGCAATGCTAGAGATATCAGCCCTACACAAAATTAATTAGATTTACAAAAGACACTAATAGCTTTACGTCACTCATCAAGCACATATTTAATATAGTAGTACACAATTTCGATAAATACATCCCTTCATTTTGCGGCGTGATAAAGAACATTGATTTACTGTTATTTTGTTCCAGTTTAACCTCATTCTAGCCTCAGCGATCCTTTATCAGTTAATAATTGTACTAGTACGTAACATTCCAGTCGATCACGTGGAAAAGAGCGTTCAGCAAGTCAAGAAACTCCGCCATCGTTTAGTACCACATTTGTATAACATCCGTTTCTATATTAGTCCACCATATTTACGTGTTAAAGTCCTTGCATTGCCAGTAATACGTCACAGCACAAATGCCCGATTGTTTTAATCGAATGGCATTTAAATGGATTATTTCTGCCTGTGTTTTAAGAAAGCATAATCGATTTTGCCGCCACCACCCACATCCCCAAAGTGACTGCTACTCCCTCTCCTGTTCTGTTGCTGATGAAGACGAGAAGATTAGGAAGACGTTTAATGGACTCGTCTTCAAACGTGACCTCACCACGCCACATAGCGTTTTAATGGAACAAGCGTGGGGATAAAACACGAGCACACACGCATCTTAAAAATCTCTTCTGAGCCTCCAAACAGCAGAGGACGTAGGCGCGTCTATCACCTAAAAGAATCTGAGTTGTACTCCCCCCTCGGCGTGTGTGCGCACCTGGTAAGGTCGTGTCTCCCACCGCCCCATCGCCTCATCACGTTAATGCGTTTTCGCGCGCGCGTGGTGTTTATGGCACGAAGGTGGGGGTGTGGAGGCAAGAGCGGGAGAAACCTACTCCAAGCCAAATAGTGCATTGGGGTATGTGCCTGTCATGCTCAACCTCCCTCTCCCTCTCGCAGCATCGAACAGAATAAGTTGCTGTTAACACTGCTGTTAGACTGGTTTGGGCGTGTATGCGAGTGCAGCAATGCCGAGGTGCGCGCAGCACGGGCGCACACTGAGGATAAATCAGACTTTTTACGACTTTCTGAAAGTGGTATTCTCCGCTTTCCCTAATCTGGTATAAAAATGCCTGTTCGAGATAACAAGTTGTCCGTGTCGCTTCCCTAGTAAGTTAATTAGACCAATGACCAAGAAAGTCTCGATATTACCCACGCAATAGCGCTGTTGTAGCTATAGCCGAATAAAAAAGGATATTAAACCATCAAAAATTTACGTTAGTTGCTTAGGTTACATTTAATTACGCTTTTTCTGACTGACCATTTCGTCCACTCAGTTGGTGAGTTTATAGATATGGCCTTCTTCTGAGGGTCTAATTTAAGGCAACTTTAGTTTTTAAAAATAAACCTTACTTCTTGCTGTCAGTCTACAAACATTGATAGGTCTAGTTTTTGGGCATGTGAATTGTTACAAAATTGGCTAATTATAATTATCGGGTCTTGAGAAGACCCACTAGTTCACTTATATGTGTTTGGCTGCTGAATCCTTGTAAAAGTGGTAGAAATTCGTAGTGGTCACTTTAAGCAAAGTTTGCTCGAAGCTGAGCTGATCTCGAAGAAGCCAGTAACCCGAGCTTTGGAGTCAACAACTACGCGTGGCACCGGTAGGTCTTGAGATGCTCCACCATTTGCTCACCCATCACAACTCCCTTTTGCGCTCATTTTCCCCAAGACGAATTGATGCGTCTGCCAAATACACAAAGCCACCTTGACACTACTTTCTGATGTGATGCATCAGTCAATATCTGCAGAGAGTACCTGGCTTTGTGCCCCAAATCAAGACATTTTTTTTCAATTTTTTTTACGCATTTCAAAGTGTTTAGCTACATCGACACCATTGTCGTTAAGGGAACCGCATATTTTAGTGCCAAAGGAAACTATGATATAGTACAAGTGACGGATTCCATTTGAGGAGATTCACTCCCTAGACATGGAAGCTTGAAAAATCGTTCTTAAAGAGAGGGCATAATTTAATGTATGAACGTGTTTTCCTAGGATAACGTAGCTTGTAACACCTAGGGAGGATAGACCGAGTGTATGCTGATGATATTTCGGCCGTCTTTAGAAAGCTATCGGGCGACTGGATAAAACAGTTTATGCGAAAGGCTGTTTGTTTTTATCTTTTGAGATCGGCAGGACTGAAAGGCGTTTCATGTGGTCAGGTGATTGTGCGGAGTTAACTTGAACGAAATTTGTCCCAAATAGATCAGGCTTTACTTATCCCTCGTTCGTTTCCAATGCCCAGGCAGTTGTGCTCATAATTATGTCAACCAAGCATAGTCAAAACTTTACTTTATGAGTTTATTCAACCTGCATTTGTCCACTAACGAAACAGTAGTATGAATTTGTTATACTTGTTATAATTTGTTTACTTATTATAACTTAGCCAATATTCATCAAGGTTACACCAATTTTTAAGCGTATAATCGTAAAAAAGGACTGCCAACAGGTTTGTTCGAAGTAAACTAAAAATTGTTTAATTAAAGTTTACTTAAAAAGAAAATCGGTATCATTCTCAGCTTGTTCGTGCAATGAGTGGGTCGTATTCTACCACCGCTTCGTTACATTCTGCTGCGTTTTTATGACACAATAACTTAAAACACCTATTTTTTTATGACAAAGCTTGTCGATTTAATTTGAAAACTAAGATAGGCATTTCAAGTTGGCACAAACGGTTTTTTTGCATATCCAGTGTAACTCAGAAAAGTATTGGTCCACAAATCGCGTCTAGCCCATTTAAGCCTGGATGTTGTGACTCCAATAAATCAGACCACTCACTAGCTGCTGAAATGGTGGAAAGGTGCCCTCATCTCCACCCGACAATCCCATAGAAGGGGAGAGCATAATTTGCGCCGAAGACGAGTGTGATGGGGGCTTCATGTCGACATGGGAAATAGGGGGGAGCATCCCGTTGAAGAGGTGAGGAGGTGGCGGAGGAGGGTAGGCAGGAGAAAATCGAGGTTGGGAGGACGTAGGTGGGGGTGGCGGAGTGGACACCTCGGACTTCATGGGGCTGCACATGGGTCCCCCGTTGTCACTAGAAATGCGTTGAACGTCGATTCCAGAACTGGGACATAGCATGGTGGGGTCGTTGGGCAGGGGACTTCCGGCCACCATTGGAACTCCTTGCAGCCCACAGGGGTGCATTCCATTCTGCAAAAAACACTGACATTGTGTGCTCAACTGCAAATGACCTCCACCACTCAAATTCGGGTAATAGACATCTTCGGGTCAAGTGGAAAAGGCTTGTAACTGAACTCTAGTAATGAATCGGCTATGTTGGACCGATATCAAGTCCATCCTCTACCTCTGGTAGTTCATTCTTTAGTAGTGGATAGGTATTCGAGTACACTTATGACGTATGTGATGACCGGGATTCGAATTCAGACAGAAGTGGATGGCCAAGTGAGTGACTAACGCTTTGCTGATGATAACTTTTCGGTTCACGTTAGTCAAAATTGGGACTATTAGCTCCACTTCGAAAAATAGGATATTGATGTAGGAGCCAAGCCACAGCGATATTTTTTATCCAGGTGCGGGGCTTCCACAGGCAAAAAATTCTTCCTTTTCGTAAATTCGTAAGCAACATCGGTGTCGAACTCTAACCCCACACAACAATCGAATTTTGTCCTCGGCCCACATCCCTCCTATCATTTTGGCGCCACAAGAAAGTTAGAGAGGGAAACTAGGTCTCTCGGTTATGTGATAACAGACCGATAAGTTAATTAGAGTCATGGCGACCGAATGCAGGAAGCCAATCATTCGAGCCAGGGGAGGGTGGCATAAAGTCACTTGGCGCCTGCGTGTCTGCCCACCGGCATGAAGGCTGTCCTGCCCAGAAGAAAACCTAGTGAATTGCTATCCCCTTTAGAGTAACTTCAAATAACCTTAGTCCATACTTTTTCGGTTTGTTATACCACCTTAAGACGGGAGTTTGAGTCAGATTTAGCTGTTTAATTTAGCTGACCGCAAGTGCTGCACCACTATGCATTAAAAAGAAATCATGGTCAGTCAATCGACATCGGATGCATTATGTCAGGTTCACTTTTGACGCCTACTTATGGTACTTGACGCTGATCGGCGATTTGTAGTATTTATTCTTTTCAGAGTACACTTACTGGAAGAATAGATACTGACTGCAATTTCGTATAACATTCTGTAACACCCTACGTTAAAGACATGTAAAACAATGTAAATCCCTTGACAACTTAACTTCAGTCTAGTAACAAAACAATGCGTCTGCGTGTTGTTTAATTTATTTCACTTTGGCCCTGGATTTCACATGTTTCGTCGCACTTCCGCTTTTTAATCAATGCCCTTTAACTTTAAATATGAATAGGCTACCTCATGTCAAATATCTCCTTAAAATGTACGCATCATTAGATGTGACATTTCCAGTCCCCATTATGGACAAGCCAGAAACAAGAAAGTGACCATTGTTGGCGTTTGTGAGATTGTAAACCACACAGAGATTGGCCTGGCGTCCGATTGACCAAACGCCAGGGGTCAGCCAGGGAGAACTTGACAGGGCTTGAGCACTGAGCGAGGCAGTCGTGAGATTGGGTCTGGTGATATGCGGCATGTGCACGTGCGTCATTGTTCCCTCCGCGGGCCCACCACGACCTTTCGCTCGTCTTGACTTCTGACGCAAGATAAGGTCTGATGTACCCTAGTACAAAATACTAGTACGGTACTTGTGCAGGCTGACTTTCGCGGGCTAGCCAAGAAGCAGTAGCAGAGGTGCATTCTCGCTTGCCTCAATTACATATTTCGCAGACACCAGAGAACAGCTTTCAGCAAACATATTGCGTATTCTTTGTGGGTGACGGAAACTTACTTGATGGTGCTGTTCCATTTGTTTAATCATTATCTGCTTCTTTTTGTCCTTGCACCGTTTGTTTTGAAACCAGACGCGAATGACTCGTGGACTGAGACCGGTCATTTCGACTAATTGCTCCTTCATAAGAGCGTCTGGGCGTGGGTTTGCCGCGTAGCAGGTGCGGAGCATGTGGAGCTGCTTTTCGTTAAGCACTGTCCGAACCTACAAAATCGTTAATCAAATAAACAATGATCTGGCTTATTAGCAAATACACTTTGCTAGAACTTCAGTTTTTAAATTAAATGATCGAATTTCGAATTCGCTATGGTGATGGTTCACATGAGAACCGGTTACTATGCGGGCAATGTGACTTATCCGATTGGTGCCAAGACACAGATATGTACACAAAGACGTCAAGATGGCAAATGCCGTACCAACATGTCACGAAGTAAAAAAAGAGATGTTCTAGAGCGATTCAAATGGGATGCCAAGTAGTTCGTGCAAAGATCTGCAATGATGTCCAATTCACTCACCTCAAATTGTTTTTCGGTTATGAAAAATTCGAAGCACCGAACTGTATGGGATGCAATTATTAAATGATGATTTTAAAAGACAACATTGTGTAGCCAACACTCTCAATACGCCAGCCAAAACGAAAAATACAGTTGCGCAGATTCAAAAAGAGGCCTCTTCTTTAGCAGCCATCGATTATATTCAAGGTTTTTAATACCCACGGACAACACTCTTAGCTTGAAGTGGCAGATCTACGAATATCATGGTCTATGTGTTATTTGGATATCATTTGCTTCAAAACATTGGTGTTTTTTTCAAAATGAGGATGCCAATCCATCTATTCGTTGAGTTATTTGGCCGAAGGTTATTGGAAAATTGAATATAACCCATCACATTTACCAATTTATAATAGCTAAAGTGGTCCTAGTCTAAATGGGACGTTTATGGAGTGGTGATTCAATCTCATGGGCAAATCCAAGGAGAAATTCCTTGGAGTAGCGAAAAAATTGGTCCATTTTTCTAAAAAGGCCGTGAAATTTTAAAATAACAGGATAACAACACTGCTGTCCACGTTCAACGTGGTGCAACAAATGACTAACGACTTTCAAGTAAGGTTAAATAATTAGTCTGTTAGTTGTAAGTACGTGATAAATGGACCAGGAGTAAGTGTTGCGGTCTTTCAACTAGAGACATTCGGTGTTCGCGACGTGGAATAAGGCTTCACCTACGTTTTGTTCTTTTGGAGCCTTTGGACTGAACAATACCTGTGCAGATCCTTGTGATTTCAGCACCCAGAGATGACTGGACTTGTTGGTGTCGATCTAAATTATTTTAAGGGCCATCCTAAAATGTGCATTAATGTTCAATTGCTAGTTAGGACCAACTTCCAGAAAATCTTTGAAGCCTAAGTTAATCGATATTTCCTCATGTGATCCATAACACTTCCAGATTATTGAAATGGCCTCTTTGTCCTTTTCGGCATACCGTTTGCTAAAATTGCAAAAGCCTCCTCCCTTATTGAAAGTGGTGACGAAATGACTAATCTTTCGGAGATACGCAAACGGGCAAAACTGACCTCCCCTCTGCCAAGGTCAACAGACGTAACGGCATCGACAACTGCCGTGGCGACAGTTAAAATCTCGCATCATACCACTAGCATCGCACCCCCTCGCCCCTCTCCTCCCCTGCTGTGTGCGTGTGTGTGCGTTCGGCTAGCAGTGGCGATACCACATGCTGCCGCCTGTCGCGTTGTCACGCTGCCGCAAGGTAAATACTTCCCCTGTGTGCCCGTCGGATCAAATCTGGCACCCTGGAGCCCTCGAGGGTGGGGGTGGGAAAGTTGACGTCATAGCAACGAGGCATGTGGTGGTGACACATGGTTTCCACCGCGGGGGGTTTAAAGTCTGAAAGACCTGCGCGCGATCGTTAAATCTTGCGAGGGCGAAATTATGGATCGGCGTAAGACAGCCTTTTCTTGCAAGCACTATTGTCAATTGTTATTGAGTCGTATAAGCAACGCTAGAACATAGAGGGCTTAAAGTTAAGCTAGCAACGACATTTAAAGTGACAGCTGCCACTCAACAGTGTCGGGAAATGGCCCTATATAAAGGTACGAACCTGTGCGGCCTATTGAGGCATGTCTGGGAAGAATTAATTTCCTTTAATGTTTGAAAAAATTGATTACAACAATCCCTTAAGCAAACACCAAAACACCCGAACAAACAACTTAGTAACAGACAGGTATAGCAGGTCAGTTATGTTCATTAATACCAGGGGTAGTCATACATAAATAACTACTAATATCCCATCAGACGTCTTCGCTAACGAATGTTAAATCAATAAACCCTGAATTGACTAGGTTACTATAATTGGGAGTAGTATGTTAAGACAAAACTATTTTCCGGATCCCTTGTTTCAGAAGAAGGAGTAAGAAATCGTCATCAGCATCCACGCGCATTGATTCGCAACACCCATCTACGTATTTTAAGTATATTTATTTCCAATTTATCTTGCAGTGTGTTACATGAACCTCCATGGCGGCGGATACTTAGGCCACCCTAATAGCAATCATGGGTTTTATAAGAGTCAAGACATTCCTTACAATATTATCTAAGCATTTCAATAAAAATAGTTTACGTCAGGTTAGAATGTTGCTTGTCAGAAATATTATGTTCTGTCGATTATGAGACACCCGTCCATGTGATTACACAACTGTTCTGTGAATGATTATGCAAATAGAAATCGATAAGTACCAAGCACTTTGCTTCGAGAAGTCTTCTTCCTCGACTGCTCTCGTTTTCAGGGGAAAAGCCCAATGAAAATGATTTTTCTAACCAAAAGGGTGATTTAAATATAATCTAGCCGAAAAACCACAGCAATCTACATGGGGACTAGCTGTGGTCTCGTCACAATGTGCTCCTCTCATTTAGTAATTTCCTTTTCCCTCCTTAAACAAATAGAATCCGACCACACAGTGTGGTGATCCGGACTTACCCTAGTCGTCTTCTGTTCTTTCGACCTTTTCCCGCTGCTTTTTCCACCGCCATTTCCGCTCCTCGTCGGATGATGCCCACCAGTCGAGGTGGGAGTCTGCTGAAGGGACGACGTGTCTGAATTAATGGCATGAGAAGCGTGTGCCGAGATGTCCCCACTGAGGCAGGAGACCGCTGCCGATGTCATGCAGCCAAACAGGCTGCTACAGTCATCCTCGTCTTGGCTGCCCTCAGAGTTCGGAGTCATTAGAATGTCTATTTTAGAGGAAAAACAATGTTATAGAGATAGCCACGTCGCGTTTCTTCCAGACTTGATTCTACACTTGATTATAAAGCTCAATTCCATTTACTATTACGTGTGTTTTATGCCGTTTCCCTGTGAAAGCCTACGACCCAATTCATATATATATATCTATATATTTAAAGTTCATGTAAGCAAAAGTTACAAATTGCAGTTTGTGTTTGCACTTCAAACTTGGCCGATGTAGCTAAGGATTTTGATAGAATAATTACATTGTTTTTCAGGATAACATGAGTAGCAGAGTCAGGTTGTAGTGAGGACGGGCTGTACGTCTTTTGAAAATTAAAAATGCATAAAGGGCTTGTTGTGGGCACTTCATCGGAAGCCAAGTTAAGAAGGTGATTTGAGCACAATTAAACAAGCTGTGACAATCACTGAAACCACGTCATGCCACATTTCAGTTAACGGCCGCTGACATGCAAAACTCGAATGAAGGGAGGAGGCCAGACTGCCTCCAACTTGGCAAACCGTCCTGGTTGCTAGCCTCTTGAGTCGGGGGGTAATTTCGCACGTGCCGAGACGAGATACCGCAGACCAGATATCGCGTGCCTCACATCCCCCCGCTGAATGTCGCACGGTCCCGAGTGCGGGAGGCCCTCGCCTCAACCATGTGGCTGGCTGCTTTTGCTCCCCTGCCCTCCCCCCAAAACGCGTGACAGTTACTCGGTCGTACCAACCTTTACCCCCAGGGCTCGTGGAGAACTCAAGGTCCCACCTAGCAACTGAGTCGGAGTAAAACTCAAGGGGTAGGGGGAGATGAGATTAGATGTGTGTGTGTGTGTGTGTGTGTGTGTGTATGATTTATACCAAGATTTGGTTTTTGTACGTACACAGCTGTTGAGCCTTCGAAACCGAGCCAAGGTAATGTGGCTTCCAAGCCATCAAAAGCCCTTAGTATCCGCAAGAGCTCGCGATCACTCTTAAGCTAACCATCCAGCTTAGAAAACTGTACGGTTGCCTATGCTGGTCAAAAGTAAATGCCATTAATTTTTTTCCACATTACCAAAGTTATTTAATCCACATCAAGTTACTGAACTACCACAAATAGGTTAAAAAGGCAAGCGCAATGTGTCCAACTGTTTTTCGATCTCATTAATTCTCCAGAATTCCGATATTCCAAAGACAAAATTAAATGTCCTTGGTGCTCGTAGAAGCAAGTTTTTACATCGAGCAGCATCGGCAGGAATGAAAATCTGCTAAACACTTTAAGGTGGGGCAGGAATTACGGATAATTCATTAATTTGCTTGTTTCCAAGTTACCCGAATAGAAAAATCGGATGTGCCATGGGTAGATGAGGAATAAGTAGTTAAGAAATGAAGTCGCATCAAATTTAATCCGAAACTATTTGTAGTACACTTGTGGCTCATCAAGGGGCATGATATTGAGGTATCAGACTGCAACTCTTCGAGAGAATAACTGGTTAGTGAGGTAAGTCATGTCAGGCACTTCAGGTGGATTGCTAAGAAATGAACAGATTTCAATGATTGCAATTTACAGGCAAACATTACCAGATCATTCCTAAAGTCGATCTGCTCAAGGAGGTGACCTATTGGAATCAAGCATTTTCTACGCTTAAATCAGATACCTCGTGTTTGGGTTTCATTTTATAAATGTTTGCATCTGTAGATAATTCGAATGAGAGGTGTTCTTCACCCACCATTTTCACCCATTGGTCCATCTAGCGAGCTCGATGTGCTATCAGACCTTGTTCGATGTGGTGGTTGGGGGCTGAAGTAGGTGCCCTCTCCTCCATCTGTTAACTTCACTGCCTGCTGTTCTTCGCCTGACTTCATTGTAGGCGGGTGGACCGCGGGAGACAGAAGGGTCAGCACCTTGGGTTCAGCGTCCCCTTCCACGCGTGTTGACCCCGTCGTGGCTGCGCTAGCCGTGGCTGACGATGGCGCCTCCCATTTGTCCGGCAGTGTCAGCTTCGCGTCGCGGAGGCAATAGGGCATGTTTCGGTGGTAGGCGATCTCTTCACCAGGTTGCAGGATCGCGGAACAGGCGACACAGCGAAAACAGCCCATGTGGAAGGTCTGGCCACGAATGCGGAGAACAAGGTCCACTTTGGTGATGGGTTGCTGACAACCAGCACAACGTTGGAGAAAACTGCTGCTGGGGATAAAATTATCGAATCTGTACTTGGCTTTTTGTGCTTTTTCAATTATGAGGCAATTAACTCAAGCCCTTGACTCTTCTAGTGACCCATTCTATACGTTTTCAAACTGGAGCCAATCATAAGGACCGTACTAGTCGGCCAGCCCCCAGTTAGATAAAGCAGTTGAAGGAAAAAAAACTGGTCACTGACCTAATCACTAGTGAGGAGTCAATAATCACTTTGACGAGAGTGCAAGAATTCATCAAGCATTGGTGATTGAATGCGCATGTGAACGATAAGGCTTATCACAATGCTAAAACGTGAGCTCTCGATTAGTGAGAAATTACTGGAAAGTATTGGCAATTGTAACGGCTGAAAATTCACCTTTGCGTGACTTTGTAGCTCAATTGGGTGCATCAACCACTTATCTTTCTGTTTTATTGGTCAGTTTGTTAAGCTTTTTCTCAAAGATGGGCTGTCGTGGTACCCGGAAGGCAAGGGGGGTGGAGAACACTGTTAACTGATTTACCCTTGCTTTGCGCGTAACGCTCACGCTCTCTTCCAAGGGCAATTTTTCACGATCTATACCTAAAGTTAGTTCACAGTATCAACCGACCCTCTTCCTGTAAACAGTGAACGGTAATCGTGTATACCGCGGGCCTCATTAATGAAGTCGATATTTCAATTTCCAATTAGCGTAATCCACTTGACCGTAACAGCTTTACTTTTAGAAGAACTAAGCCGTCGTGATGTGTTGAACAAAATAAATTGGTGGCCTACCCCCCAAACTCCAGTCAGAGTTGTGATCTACAGTGAGCATTTATTATAAAAAATCAAGTATAAAATCCGTCAGTGTGGCTATTAACGCCTTCTTAATAGCCCCAAGGTGAGTGGTTCAGGCGGATGGACCACGCAATCAAAAAGCTTCGAGGGCTTTCACCCCGAGTTAGCCACAGATAATTGAGCAAATGGTGGAGGATTGAAAAGATTATTGGTGTCGAGCACCACTTACAGCCAGAGCTAAAGGCATTAAGTGTGGGCTTGTCTTTTTCTTCCCCCGTCGATCCGACCCCAACAATTTTAACTGACCCACTTTCCACCCCGGTCTAAAAAAAGCGTTTTCTTATAGTTAATGGGTGCGTCAGCTTTTTTACACATCTGTTGATTCTGGAAAGGTCGATTTCATAAAGCGACTACGAAGGTTTCATCGATTTAAGACCAGAATAACACTCTAAAGCACAAACTTTGCTTTATAGGAGAGAGCAGCTGGGAAGGGCTAAATTCAATCGAGACACTCGACATGAGTAAGATCAACGTCTTGTCAGTGTCTTCCACAGGAGGTTTCGTTGTGTGAGCTATTTTCAATTTATGCAATAAAAATGTGATTTCCATACAGAAATACTTGTGGTAATAATTTGTACTGCACAGTCTGTCCACGATAGTGGCCAGTGAAGGGAGTGTACATTTAGAATAATGCCCTGTCACACTGTTCACCTGCTGACAGCATCACTTCTTTCTCCTATCCAAAGATTCATGAATTCATAGTTATTTTAGCGAAGATAGATACTTTTTGGTAAAGAACACAAGCTTCTTTCGTAGCCAACGTTAGAAAAGGATGACGAATCAACTGTGTTTGTTGTCTCGATCAGGTGTGAGGGTCCCATCCCCTGGAACTCATTACTCAAGAAGACGATTAACGCACGGATTAACCATTCATCCTTCCTGAGATTACGCAAAACTTCCATAAGAGGCAGCCATATCCTGCGATGAAGACATTCCAGTTCACCCACCTGTTCCGAACTCTCAGTGGCTTTACGTAACTCAATAAACATCTTGCTAACTAGGACTTCCACAATGCCTAACACGGAAGTTTCATTGCATCCACTATCGACCCCCTCCTCTTTCAATCGCCTGCGATCAGTTTTCAGGCAAATGTTAGGACCTGTTAGAGTCGAGTGACACCTTTGTTATCAATGAAATCGGTGATGAAAAGAACGCATTTCGGTGTACTGCAAGTGTTCTGACGAAATCACACCGGTTCAACTCCAGCTGTTATTTAACACGACTGCCTCTAAATCTAGAGGGTGAGCGATAAAACTACATTTCGCCCCGGGCATGCAAAGACCACGAAATTTCGGCCTGCAGAATAATGGGACTGAAAAGGTCCCTGTTGGATAAGGGAAGTTGCTTTCAGTTAGTTCAGTTTCTGTCTCTCCGTCAGCCGAACAATCCACCCGCTCGGTGTCAACTGAGGCGTCCCCATTACGAAGCCATGACGATTTTGGCAAGGTGGGGAATTGGAATTTCCATCATAGCATTACCGCCCTGTTCGGGAAACTCAGGGTTGGGAGCGACGAGAGTTTGTTTGAGGGCCGAATGTCCATTAATGACTTTGATTTGAGGCGATAAGCACACAAATTTGGTGAGAAAATAACCCGCCCCCAGTGCGCGCGGGTGTGTTTGCTCAGTCCACGAAGCAGTGCAAGCAGTCCCTCTGCATCGGAGAAATTTTCAGCATAAATGTAAAAGTTGTTTAAGAGTAGCTTCAGCCACAATACACTCCACGGCTTTTATGACACATTTATGATGTACGCACAAACTCCCACTCTTCTTATCGACGTTGAGGCAGGCTCAGTTTCTTGTGGAAACAAGATTTGTCATTAGCATGTTAGCAAGTGTCTGTCTAACAAAGTTAAACCACCAAAATAAAAAATGCAATTGGCGAAAACAAAATAAGAATCCTTTAGCGAATGGTGATAATCCGCATCCACTTTTGGATGCCACAAATCCTGCTGCAATGCATTTCCGCAAAATAACCTCACAAGTGTTTGTCCCCTGACTGTCATTTGATATCCGCAGGTCTTAGATGCACACAATTAAGACCTTATTAGAAGTAACACGGTTAACCAACAAAGTTAGGTGTCCAGTCCCTCCTGTTTCCTATTGCAAGAATGCCTCGGTCTCCGATGTTGACAGTTACGGTGCACTGATCTATTAGCCACCATCCCTCCCTCTCATCGAGGCCTGTTTTCCCCAAATCAGATTATCTCTCCCAATCCCACCCCATTGTCGTACCCCGAGTGTGTGTGTGTGTGCGTTTTGCATCCTCGTGCACGTGTCGGGGAGGGGAAGAGAGGGTGGACTCGACGATATTTAACACCTCCAGCCCCGACGACACGCATTTTTCATACCACCTCGACCCGCCAACCACCACCCTCCCTCCCTCTTACCTGTCCGAGCAGCGACAAAAATAGCGAGACAAACACAAAAACTACACCGATTGTCCCGGCTGATCGAGGCTTAATGCGATGCCTTTTTTCCACAGTTGAATGACGGTTTGGGCGATAAGAGCTACAAGTGAGTGCCGGTTAGCTCTTTGTATTACCATGGGCCAGATTGGTGGATACAATCATTCCCTCACTCATTCAGAACGTTGCTGTATCACTGCCTACCATGATACATGATGCACATCTGTCCATATTTGACCGCTGAGAAACTGACAGTCGATCTGTTATTTCCGTTTGATTTGGAATAAAAGGTCATGATGGACTCTGGTAATTCAGAGGATAGAGTCAATAGCACATGTCCTAAACTTGAATTGCACTAGGGCTGAAATTCAGGTCTCAAATGTGGTTCTTTAATTTGGTAAAACGTACTTGCAGTAGTCCTCGCGGCAGTAGGTTTTTCCGTTGCGAACGAAACAGCTAGCCTCTTCGCTGAGGCCCCGTTCGCACTTGTGGCATTTAAGACATCGACCATGCCACTTCAGGTCCGGCTGAACGTGCATTATGAAGGGATCGTAGATGGCAGATCCGCAGCCAACACAAACAGCCTCCTCAGCCGTCAGCAAACCGATCAGAGGATTCGCTGAAGTTAGAGGAACCTCATTGCCTAAAAGGAAATTGGCATAACAGTACAAATATACAGGCTGCAGTCGGTCCAGAAAAAGAGGGTTTTACATGCAGATGGTAAAAGAGTTTACAAGAAACAAAATAAAGCAAAAGTTACATTTAATGCGTTATTATAGCAAATTTTCCGGTAATAAAATCTTGCGTGGCTATCCCAAGCAATAGGCAAGGCAGGAGACTTGGTTGGACAAGTATCATGATCTGAATTAAAGCCAGAAATCGCTCTGTCAAATAATTCACACTTGTGCTGATCGCGAAGTAAGATTTCTTTATTTTATCATAACACATAACTTGTCTTTGTATTCATTTCTGGTACCTTCACTACTGAAAAGCGAGTCCAGAATCGCAAATCAGCCGGTCTCTTGAGATGAACTTCCCTAGCGTTCATCTAAGCCAACGATTCACTACCGAGGAAGGACTAGAAATACCCAAGGCCACCTCTGAGGCAGGCATTGTTTCGTTCGACGGCTTAGAAGGCAATTGCTATAGACTGATTTAAGTGAATTCACGAAGTTTTGCTCGATGCACCCTTTTTTGTAAGGCCCCGTAAAGTGTAACAATAAGGCGACACCATGTCTATTCCTTGTGTGTGTGTCATTCGCAGACCTAATTCCACCCAATTGTAATGCTCGAACGTCGGTCCGCCTTCTCTCCTGATTAACCCCACCTGATAGATTTAATTAGATTAATGGAAGGGTCTTGGCGGCAGCTTTTGCGTCGCTCTCCCTCCTCTCCCTCACGCTGAACCATGACAAGCGGTAGCGCGATAGTGGTTTAATTAGTGTGCGCCACCCATTTTTATTATTCGAGTTAATTTCTTGGCCCCAGTGTTCTGTTTTTTAGTAGAGACAAACTCTTTAACCTTGAGGAGACTCTCCGTAGACCCGCTATAATGATTCTGTTAGTGGATTAATAAAAGGTACGACGATGATTGGTTACTAGCTCTCGGGGTGAAAAGCTCTGTTAATTGACCGAATTCCACATTCCGTGGGGCGTTTCAGGATAAAGGTAGTCTTGGGCTGCGTTCCTTGTCAGGTGAGAGTCTCTGACAGAACGCGAAAAATAAAACTACAGACAGGCATTGCAAGTTTTAAAGTGACAGCGCACTATTTACTAGACAGACACCTGTGATACCATCAGGTGTGTCGTGCGCAGACCCTCCTAATTGACACGCAAAATTTATCCCTAAAAATAACTCTTGTGGGTGGTAAGGCAAACTATTAACTGATTACTTATCCAAACCATTTCTAACAGCATCCAATCAAATAAAAATCTGACACTGTTCTTTTCCACGTAAAAATTCTTTGACAGCTTATTGTATTAAAATAGACTTCGGTTCTTAACTCTCTAAGGGCGCATTTTTCAGCTAATTCAACAAACCTGAGGTTTCGTCCAGTAATTGGATCAGGGCATTAGAATTGTTCCTTGAAAATAATTTTCAATGCTTAGACCTAATTATATGATAAAAAATGAGTAGTTCTACTTCAATCTGAAATGCTTGAAAAGTCTGATGGACTTAGTAAATATGAAAATGTTTTAACTTAATAATTCGACTATATTTTTTATACTAACTGGCCTAAATCCAGTTAGTTGACTCAAACCTTCTAGCTGTTGTTGCTAGACACATCTTTTTTTAATCAACTTGATATTTAAATATTTTGACCATTTGCCGCCACTAGAATTTTCCGCGTTCTAAGCAGGCAACGTGCTAATTCTTAGTGTTATCTACCTTTCTGATAAAGCCACCAACACTCATCTGGGTACTGTAACCAAAAAGAAGAAATTTTGGCCAACGACGGCATGGAGAGGCCTCAAAAGGTGCTAATCGGCTGCCCTGTGGATGAGACAAGGTCTCTCAGCCAAAGCAGTCCGGTGTCTGGTGTATGGTGCTTACGGTGATGTCCTCCACTGCCTCAAAATTCTGCCTAATAGGCACGTACATTTCTTAATGGCAGATTTAGATAGTACGAAGTTACAGTGTGGTTGTGCTTAACTAAGCGTGGTTACACTTGGTGGTTCTCAGATGGCTTCCTGACTGTAGCGCAATGTTTTAACTGTTAGTTCAAGTGTGCATCTTGGGTCACACAAAGAAACAACTCCTGGCCGAATAGCAAGAGCTTATTACCCAACTATGTGAGGGTCTAGAGTATCGGAAGATTGCTTGCTCTGTTAGGGCCTTGTTGCGCATAATTGGAAAGCGTTCAACTAATGTAGTCTGACGCATTCTCAGGGACGCATGTTTTCATAATGAAAACTATGTTTAATTCGAATGTCTACAAGAGACGTATTCAGGCAAAGCTCTGCCTTGATTTTAGTGGAACCCATGGGCTTTCAAGGGAAATGTCAAAGGCTTCCAAAGAAACTGGATAATAAACGAATTTCATAGCGATATTTAGAAGCAAATTTTTAACCACTGATTACCATAGGCAAACCCGATCCATAATTTCCCGAATAACCAGTTTTCCACAAATTTTAGCACCGAATTTATAAAAATTACATGTATTCATGATCGTGACTTTAAATTTAGCTTTAAACCACACACAATGTCTCACTGCTTTAAAGTTTTAAGTCTGTCAGACTAAGTAAACAGCTCTATTGTCACTCTCACCTAAGCAGAATCGCAATTAAGGCTTCGTTTTTAGGAAAAAAATAGGTAATAATCAGTGCAAGACACTGCAATATGTGGTCTGTGGCTCGTGGTAAAAAGCATTGGGGCGAAGTTGTTGGTACTCTAGTTAAAATAACATTTCGGAGCTTACCGATGCTTCTACAATCCTCTTTACCAAGATCCATACCGAAGCCAACAGTCATGTTGATGAGCGAACACGCGATTACTGTATAAATCATTCACAAACAGCGAGAGGGGGAGTGAAGTCTCGCTCTACTGACGATTGGTTAAAATCGTCCTCGCCGTGAACGTGCGAAGTATTCATTGATGTCAATTGGCTATCAAGTAGCGTAGAGCTTTGTGATTGGTGATTTCATGCGCCACCTGTCATTTCGATAGTGAGTTCTTTAGAAACCAGGTGGTTATTCGGCAGTCTCAATAACCTTGAAACTGCAACTGTTATCAGGCTGGGCTATGTATAATAATTCAATCTGCTGCGTCAAAGCTAGGAAACCAAAACTTAATTGACTTATTACACGATAAATAAACCAGTTTCCATTTGCTATTGCACGCTTCTTATCCTCAGGACTACGTGGATTGATTTTTAAGGTTTATCTAAAATTAATCCGGTTAAAGCTTAGAACAAGTGGGATCGTGTGTTGAGGAGAGATCGTGATATTAATGGCATAAAAGTAAGAAATATACCGAGTTGTACTCGAGCTACGTTCATAGCTACAAGCCATAAGTCGAATAGCGCTTAGCTACATATCAATTTGATTTAAAAATCACAGTAGCTTGCGCGGTGTTTTTCCCAAGAATACGTGATTAGGCCATCTGAGAGATCAAGGTTCTCTTAATGGAATAAGGAGTATTGTCAGCTACTGATAACTCGTATTCATACCAATTTAACATAAGTATTTCCTCTTTTTGTGACAGATTACCGACGTGCCTTTATGAGAGTCCGAGTCTTAAGACGTGGAATTGGCGTTTGCCGGACTTGCCTTGGGATGATTATACCCTTAATTAGGTCTGTTTTATTTTGTCAAACTTAGAAACTTTCAACTTGTAAGATGCGCGTCTTAGCAATCCTCGATTTCGCGTTTATAATAGACACGAAGTTTGGGATTTAGAATAAGGGGCACAGAAATGATACATTAATGTTTATTTTAACAGTCAAGTTTTAGTTTTCATAGCTTTAACTGAACTTATGCTTACTGACACACACCAGTTTCGGTTATACGTCCGATGTCAGTGGTCTTTGACCGCATTACCTGGGCATTCATAATATTCAAAGTGGGCCATACATTTGCAATTAAAATGTGCTCATGAATGCTGAATTGACGCGCATGCGGTGACATCAACTACTATGCGGATTTGACAGTGTATCTTCAAAATTTGTCGTGCACTTGCTTCTGAATAGTTAGTAGTTTAAAAACTAAACCGATTTGAAAAGTGTGCTACAGAACATGAAATGTTTGGATTCGAAGCTTACACGAAACCGAACCGCATAACAACAATGCCTGTGGCAGGTTGTGGAGCGTCCGCGCTAGGTAGGAAGGTGGCAGAAGCCCCGCCTTTCCTTTCCCCTAACTGACGAAGCTTAGTCGAGCGTGAGAGTTGTTGGTGTTGATACAGTTGCGCCCCATTGAACAAACAGATACCGGTGTGGTCAAGTGCTCTTAAGATGTCTCCGGTCGAGCATGAACTGACCGAATGATTACCGTGTCTATTCAGTGAATCAACTTAACCGCCGTCATGAATTACTGTGATACCAAGTCACTGTATATCGCGTTGTATATTATTTTAATTCTTCACTGGATCCTTGTTGCTATATTTATAAGGCGCAATCTTGAGGATTTATCAAACAATGGAGATAAGTTACCTTGTTAACAACATCGACCGCTTTGGCGGGCTCGCTTTGACCAAACAGGGAACAAACATTTCCCTGCTACTTTCGTAGGCTTGTAAAATAATATGGGCACTGTAAGTAGGGTTTTTAGCTGTGAGTAAACACTTGTACCACGAATCTACACGAGTGAGGTAACTTAGGCATAATAAAGAAAGAAAAAACAGACTGAACTGAGGTGAAGCCCAGTCGCAATCATAGCGCCAGTCGGCATCAGGCTGGGATGCACAAAAAATAGAACGAGCTTAATTGTAACAGAATGAAGCATGTGCGGCTCGAGAGTGATGAGCGAGTGACAATTATTCAAACTCGCTCGAAAACGTTTTTTTGATGGCTAAACATAAAAATAACGTTAGCACCCAGGTGTCTCCCCTCACCGAGGGTACTCCCATTCGACTCGGCCACCTGAGGGGGTGGGACGCGACGGTTTTTCCAGCCGCCTTGCACACGAACCGAACCCGCTCACCCTCCGGGGAGAGGGGGGAGGGGTGTTGGCGACTTACGGGGTGGGTAATTATTGCTCGAGAAGCAGGCTCCATTGGTTGTTAAAACGCTCAGTAAACCCCGCCTCTGTGACCCGTACAAGTCGTGCAGGTGGCCACGCGGGCTCGGAGTGGCTGTGGCGTGGGCCTAGTTTTCACGAGAGGTGCAAGCGTTTCGGGCGGACAATGCCTGTCCCTTCTGATGCAAAGACAATTTATGCTGGGCAAATCCACTACAAGAAATTAACTAATTTCCTTGTTGCTAGACTTCACTTTGGTTATGGGGGATTTACAGTCAGGGATAAATTTTCTAGCCAGCCGGCTCTTCTATTTAATGGATTTTATTGAGTTGTCCTACACATAGTATTTTTCTTATACAAACTTAGGAAAAGCTACGAAAAAGAGGTGATTACCTCTTAGCAAACATTATGTGAATTCGCGTGAGGACCTCGGCAGTGGCAACGCAGCGGAGACGAAACAAGAATGGCTGGCTAACGTTGTCTCCAACGGGTAATAACAATGGCATGACGGCCGGACAATCTACATGATGGCCATTCAACTCTCCTTTGAAAACAATGACATCCACACGATCAGTTGCCAAGACAACTTGGTCGCGTGCAACCAATTTTGAGAAATAACATATCATGATAGAATTTTACAGGGAATTTCTGGAAAGATCACAACACGCATAAGCACACCCAGAGTCTAGGGGGGTATTTAGCTTTGATGGCTACGAACAACGATCTTTTGCTGCTTAAATAGTACAGTGAGGTTTAAGGAAGTCACAATGCCTTAAGGACTTTTCTCTAATATCCACTCGGCTCTTGCTAATGAAAAAGAACCAAATGCGTTCATGGGAGCGAATATGCAAGCTGGTAAATGTTCAAATCGCCGTTAATTAAAACGGACTCACTATGAAGGACTGGTTGCTTTGCCTGAACCGTCCACATTTAGGAAACAAGCTAAACTATGCAGCCTAGTCCGATATTCATTGATTAAATGAAAACTGGCATGCTTGATTACCTGGCGGCCTTACTACAAAATTCCGATCCTTAAATGTAAAGAAACAAAAGTCTATTGAGAAGCTCGAAGAAAATAAGAATCCTATTGTCATTTTTATTTAAGCATAGTCTGGAAAAAGTTCATTAATTTAATTAGTATATTACACTACTACTACTACTACTACTACTACTACTACTACTACTACTACTACCACTACCACTACTACTACTTTCCTTGATTATTTGTTAGGTCAATTCACAATCAAGACCTTGTGAAAATAAATTGATTAATCTTAACAAAATTGCCTTAATGTAAATCTGAAAACTTCAGAATTAGATTAAGATACGAGCCACTAAGAGGAATCGGTGAGACCTTGAGTCTAGACATCCCAATCGATCAGTGGTTTGGATACAGTGAAGGGTTTTGCACTACTTCGACGTCTCATTCCGAATTCTCAATAGCATCATTGGTTTGAAGCACTTGATTGGTGTCATAGGAATATCCACTTCCAATACAAACGTTTCAGACAGTACTTAATAAAATGGAGTCTCTTATTGTAGTCTCGGGCGTCACATTAACTAATTTGTCAACAAGGGAAATATTCCTGAATGAAAGTTTTGTAAGTCATGGATTTCCTTATTTATTTAAATAAAAATATAGCAAGCGGACAGTACCTTTGGAACAAACTGATAACAACACACATGAACGACATGTTAAGTTAATGCGGCTCTGTTTAGGCAATTAGAACACAACCTAAAAATTTGGTGGCTCGATACACTAAACTATACGACTCGTGTAACTCTTGGATAAACATACGTGCTTAGCTACATTCTTTGAGTGTTTTCTTCCAAAATGACTGTGCCTAGTTTCGGTTTTAAGATTAATGAAGATGGTTTCATAAGGCTTAATTTACTTTAAAAATACTTCACCAAAACGAACCAGGTTGATTTTTAAACGTGTCATTGAATGCTAGCCATGCTTTGTCGATGAGCACGGACATTTGATGACCAATTCGAAATCGAAAAGCGTCAACCGGATGGATGGTGCGCGGTTCTTTGATGCATTAATTGAAAGTAAGCTGTCTTCATGTGAGCTGGCTTGGTATTCTATTTTCTATCACTGACAGTATTGGAAATGTAGACCTGCACACTACTTACAATTCTTTCCAATGTGTCAATTTGTCATTGCATTTCTTGCAAACTCCTCACTGTCGTAGAATTGTTAACTGTTAAATATCGACACGGTGCCAGCTTAATAACCAGTAACGAAATACGGGAGACGTCATCGTGAGCAATGTCCTCTTATATGAAAATGAAGTGTCAAGATACACGACGGATTTAAGCAAAAGCTAATAACATCATATTTTTTGCACTTAATCAGTTGCTGCTTCTTTCGCTGCATTAGAAAGATTTTTGAAAATCACTGAATTTCGGAACATGTTTCTGCTGACACCCATTTTTACTGAGCAGCTCCATTTACAAAGGAAAGATTGGGAACTCAAACTCCTCATACCCAGGCACTTGTTTGCGCAAACCAGCTGTTGACGCCAGGTCGACTGGAGTAGTAAGAAACTGGCACGAGCCCAGTTCGGTCAATTCAATTTCCGTTGTAAACGTCACGGATAATCGAAAATTTTTTTTGCAGTTTCAACCTTCATCACTTAGCTCTTAAAAACTAGACTGGTCAGGTAGACGACAAACGGCATCTCGCAGCCTAGCGGGAGCACTGTTGTAACCTGGTACTACACCCCACACCAGAGACTCATTGTTTGATCCGAGCAGACCTCAGTGAAAAAGGCTTGGTGCTGGGAGAGCGACTCTACCGTAGGTCTAACAATTAAATCTAACTACTGTTTACTGCTTTATTCATAAAAAGCGAAGTCCCCTTCCCGCCTAGCTGCTTTCTAGGGGGCATATTTTACCTAAGCGTAGATATGTGTACTGGGCGGAAAGCAATTGCTGGACCCAGGATAGGTATTCGTGCATGAGTAAGAGTTCAATCAATTTCTAGAAAGGTTCACTCTTAACAAGGAGAAGCACTCAATCGTAAATTGATTAAAACGTAAAAATTCAACCGATTTCTAGAGATTACTATTGGGTTTTGAATAATGTGCAGTCTCTTTGGATGAGTGAAACGCTGGACTTATCACTTTTTCCCAAAAAAAGGAATACACGTTCAACAAAAGAACGAGGCTTTGTAACATTCAAGAGCACTATAACTGGCTTTAAGTTAAGGGGCATGATCTCCTGTTCATTTGCAACGAGGGATATTTGCCCCCACAAAACCACTAAATTGAGTAAGGATGAAAACCTTATAACAGAAGAGGTGTTAGAATAAAAATGCAAAAAGATAAACGAATATCAGGGAGTTATATTAAAAAATGAACAAAACGCATCCTCCGCAAGCACTCGACCAAAAGGCGAGGACTCCAATTGGTCATCAGAACAGGAGTGGAGACATACTTCGGCATGGGAGATGTTAATATAATTAGGAAGGTTGTGAGTTGATTCAGCAGTTGAAATGGCTTCATACACCGGAGGCGGAGCCAACCAACCACCGGCTTCACGCATGTGGCTCCGATTTGAGGCGAAATGGCGAAGATAAACGTCTCCATCCACAATACGAAAGTATCTATGAGAGATCATTTGATCAACTGTTAAACCACATTCCTTACGGACAAGTGGGAACAATTATCTGGCAAATAGCGATTTAATACGCTCCATTGGTCGGCTATCACTTTGCTCTTCCGTAAACTACTGGGCGAATGCTCGACAACATAAATCCAATTTATCAATTTTTTTAGCAGCGCTAAACCAAAATTAAATGATACGGCTACTAATCTTCGGGAATTTCCAGGTAAATTGAATTTCAATTTCATTCCTAGTTTCCGAGAATTTACCAGAGATGAAACGTGTGGAAGGGGTCTGTGCAAAAATCCCCAATGTGACCGACAGCTTGCTGTCCTTATAGAGTACCAAATTGAGTCTTTTTACTAACTACTTTCAGGTAACCACAACAAACAGTTGACTTGAAAACACATCACTGAGTTGTGAGGGTAGGCGTAACAGAAAAGATCGTTCGTAAGAAGGCAAGCAGACTAAATTCACCACATTAACTCAGTGAAGGACTGAGGACATACCTTTCATACTTTGGCGGGAATTCCGAATTTGAACGAATGGCTTTGCGCCAATACTGAGTTGCATCACAGGGAAAACTCAGAGTCGAATCCAAATCATAAACCCGATAGGAGTTACCCACTGCAAGTCGTTCAATGGCAATAACGTGGTAGTCCTATGGTGTTATCAGGTAAACAAAAGCCGCACCCACACGACAAGTCCATTCACGCAATTGCTACTTTTTTGAAAAAATACTGGCACATTTCTAGACGGAACCGATTTACGTTAAACAAGTCAACATGCTTTAGAGGGTTCGATATAAAGACAGCGTAGAGTCGCGCGACTGATGAGTTCCCCATCATTGTCTCAATAAGTTTGTATACATTTTCTTCACTTTTTATAGAATAAAACATCTGGAAGCAACTAACCAGTACTGAGGGGTGTAAACGCAATCATCTCTAGATAGGCTCATTCAAAGTTCACCTAAAATTTTGTACTGCTGAAGTTATTACTAGATTATAGTAACACTAAGTCCCCCTAGTTATCTCGTTTAAGTCCCACTTGTGAAAAGCCGTAAATGGCCATTACTAGTCTTAAATGCATTCAAAGCCAGACGGGCAAGTAGTAAGCGGATTAAAGTTACTACGTAAAGTCACTATTGAGGACCCAAGGCATTCTTCACGAAAAAAAATTGCAGTAAGGTATCATGAATGACTTCTGCATATTGGTTAATGGACATTACCAGAAAACTAAGAGGAAAATCGAGAATCCATAGCAAAATACCGACAGCTAGAACAATCAAGGTAGGATCCACAGTTGTGGACTGAAAACCGCTACAATGAACAAATCGTTTGGGTATGAATGTAACAAAACGGGTGCCGCAAATGCCAAGCCCATGAGTTTAACATTGACCAAAACTGATTCGAACATTGTCCTCTAACAAAGGTAGACTATGCATGTCTGCGACATATGTACTTGGCAAGTTGTTTTTGCAAAAGCAGTAAACAGGCTGTATTGGTGAGCTATGGCGCAAAAAATTCAATGTAATACTTAAACAGGACTAAGCACCGTTTTTAACCCTTATAGAAGGACTATAATTTCAACGTTTAGCCAAAGTTACACTATCCCTGAGTTCGGAACAGAATGAAGCGAATAATTCATTTTCGAGAATGGGCCATGGCCACCATGGGAACCAGAAAATATGGGAAAAAACTATACATACTAAAGGACTTTTATACGTAGCGTTTCAGGAATAACTGCAGAGCGAAAAGCCAGTAAAAGGTAACCGAAAATTGTGGCACAATTGCAGTGTGGAGTGGTGTGGTGTAGCGGACTGACAGATGGCAGCCATATTGGTGAGGGTAGTCAGCACGGCGCGGAGGCGACGTCACGTGACCGGGGTTGTGACTTCCGGCTGCGTGGCGGCGTGCGGGCATGGAATGACGCGCCGGGGGCTGAAAGCCAATCCGCTCACGAGTTTTCCGTCTCCATTGTAGCGACGCGAAGCGGACCAACGGG